AAGGGCATTTAGTAGCTTCCAGGTTTTTGAAGTAACATTCTTGAAGCTTCTGTTGGTTGGCATTTTCATTCGAGGTAGGTAACCATGAACTTAAAAAGCTGTAGTTTTTGATACAACAGGTTAAACAGGGCTTCTGAAGCTCAGCCTTGTCCTTCAACGACCACAATGCCTCTGTGTCTCACAGGAATGTTCCAGGAACCCTTCACTGAAAAATGTGTGTCTGGGATTTAGCAAATTGATTTGCAAAGCATTGAAGTATTGAACAGTCATCTTGTGTTTCTGGGATAGGCAGGATTGGGAGTGTGAATGCTTTCCAAATGAGGGGTCAAGGCCATCTTTGCATTTATGGAAGGTTAAATAATAAAAAAGGAAAAAGAACCCCTCAAAGGCAGAAATGAAAACTGCCAGGGATTTGTGGCAAAAGGAGACAACAGAAAAACACGTTTATACTTCCAAAGATACTTGCAGGGAATATTGAAGAGCACAGGTTTCTCCCTGGCAGATCTACAGCTGCCTTTGTTCCAGGTGTGAATCCATTTCACATGCAAATACCAAGCCTGACCAATAATTTTGCATCTTTTATTTCCCTATTGTGTGTCATTTTAGGACAAACTGGTGCAGGAAACAACTGGGCTAAAGGACACTATACGGAAGGAGCAGAGCTGGTTGACTCGGTCCTTGACGTGGTGAGGAAGGAGTGTGAACACTGCGACTGCCTGCAGGGCTTTCAGCTCACGCACTCCCTGGGAGGAGGGACGGGCTCTGGCATGGGCACCCTCCTCATCAGCAAGATCCGGGAGGAGTACCCGGACAGGATCATGAACACCTTCAGCGTCATGCCCTCCCCCAAGGTGTCGGACACGGTGGTGGAGCCCTACAACGCCACGCTCTCCGTGCACCAGCTGGTGGAGAACACGGACGAGACCTACTGCATCGACAACGAGGCGCTCTACGACATCTGCTTCCGCACCCTCAAGCTCACCACCCCCACCTACGGGGAAC